CAGTCCCTGATTGGTTCAGATTCTGATTCAGATTCTGTTCCAATTCAGTCCCTGATTGGTTCAGATTCTGATTCAGATTCTGTTCCAATTCAGTCCTGATTGGTTCAGATTCTGATTCAGATTCTGTTCCAATTCAGTCCTGATTGAGTTCAGATTCTGATTCGGATTCTGTTCCAATTCAGTCCTGATTGGTTCGGATTCTGATTCAGATTCTGTTCCAATTCAGTCCCTGATTGGTTCAGATTCTGTTCCAATTCAGTCCTGATTGGTTCAGATTCTGATTCAGATTCTGTTCCAATTCAGTCCTGATTGGTTCAGATTCTGATTCAGATTCTGTTCCAATTCAGTCCTGATTGGTTCAGATTCTGATTCAGATTCTGTTCCAATTCAGTCCTGATTGGTTCAGATTCTGATTCAGATTCTGTTCCAATTCAGTCCTGATTGGTTCAGATTCTGATTCAGATTCTGTTCCAATTCAGTCCTGATTGGTTCAGATTCTGATTCAGATTCTGTTCCAATTCAGTCCTGATTGGTTCAGATTCTGATTCAGATTCTGTTCCAATTCAGTCTGATTGGTTCAGATTCTGATTCAGATTCCTGTTCCAATTCAGTCCGATTGGTTCAGATTCTGATTCAGATTCTGTTCCAATTCAGTCCTGATTGGTTCAGATTCTGTTCCAATTCAGTCCTGATTGGTTCAGATTCTGATTCAGATTCTGTTCCAATTCGGTCCTGATTGGTTCAGATTCTGATTCAGATTCTGTTCCAATTCAGTCCTGATTGGTTCAGATTCTGATTCAGATTCTGTTCCAATTCAGTCCTGATTGGTTCAGATTCTGATTCAGATTCTGTTCCAATTCAGTCCTGATTGGTTCAGATTCTGATTCAGATTCTGTTCCAATTCAGTCCTGATTGGTTCAGATTCTGATTCAGATTCTGTTCCAATTCAGTCCTGATTGGTTCAGATTCTGATTCAGATTCTGTTCCAATTCAGTCCTGATTGGTTCAGATTCTGATTCAGATTCTGTTCCAATTCAGTCCTGATTGGTTCAGATTCTGATTCAGATTCTGTTCCAATTCAGTCCTGATTGGTTCAGATTCTGATTCGGATTCTGTTCCAATTCAGTCCTGATTGGTTCAGATTCTGATTCAGATTCTGTTCCAATTCAGTCCTGATTGGTTCAGATTCTGATTCAGATTCTGTTCCAATTCAGTCCTGATTGGTTCAGATTCTGATTCAGATTCTGTTCCAATTCAGTCCTGATTGGTTCAGATTCTGATTCAGATTCTGTTCCAATTCAGTCCTGATTGGTTCAGATTCTGATTCAGATTCTGTTCCAATTCAGTCCTGATTGGTTCAGATTCTGATTCAGATTCTGTTCCAATTCAGTCCTGATTGGTTCAGATTCTGATTCAGATTCTGTTCCAATTCAGTCCTGATTGGTTCAGATTCTGATTCAGATTCTGTTCCAATTCAGTCCTGATTGGTTCAGATTCTGATTCAGATTCTGTTCCAATTCAGTCTGATTGGTTCAGATTCTGATTCAGATTCTGTTCCAATTCAGTCCTGATTGGTTCAGATCGTTCCTGTTCCAATTCAGTCCTGATTGGTTCAGATTCTGATTCAGATTCTGTTCCAATTCAGTCCTGATTGGTTCAGATTCTGATTCAGATTCTGTTCAATTCAGTCTGATTGGTTCAGATTCTGTTCAGATTCTGTTCCAATTCAGTCCTGATTGGTTCAGATTCTGATTCAGATTCTGTTCCAATTCAGTCCTGATTGGTTCAGATTCTGATTCAGATTCTGTTCCAATTCAGTCCTGATTGGTTCAGATTCTGATTCAGATTCTGTTCCAATTCAGTCCTGATTGGTTCAGATTCTGATTCAGATTCTGTTCCAATTCAGTCCTGATTGGTTCAGATTCTGATTCAGATTCTGTTCCAATTCAGTCCTGATTGGTTCAGATTCTGATTCAGATTCTGTTCCAATTCAGTCCTGATTGGTTCAGATTCTGATTCAGATTCTGTTCCAATTCAGTCCTGATTGGTTCAGATTCTGATTCAGATTCTGTTCCAATTCAGTCCTGATTGGTTCTGATTCTGATTCAGATTCTGTTCCAATTCAGTCCTGATTGGTTCAGATTCTGATTCAGATTCTGTTCCAATTCAGTCCTGATTGGTTCAGATTCTGATTCAGATTCTGTTCCAATTCAGTCCTGATTGGTTCAGATTCTGATTCAGATTCTGTTCCAATTCAGTCCTGATTGGTTCAGATTCTGATTCAGATTCTGTTCCAATTCAGTCCTGATTGGTTCAGATTCTGATTCGGATTCTGTTCCAATTCAGTCCTGATTGGTTCAGATTCTGATTCAGATTCTGTTCCAATTCAGTCCTGATTGGTTCAGATTCTGATTCAGATTCTGTTCCAATTCAGTCCTGATTGGTTCAGATTCTGATTCAGATTCTGTTCCAATTCAGTCGGATTGGTTCAGATTCTGATTCAGATTCTGTTCCAATTCAGTCCTGATTGGTTCAGATTCTGTTCCAATTCAGTCCTGATTGGTTCAGATTCTGATTCAGATTCTGCTCCAATTCAGTCCTGATTGGTTCAGATTCTGATTCAGATTCTGTTCCAATTCAGTCCTGATTGGTTCAGATTCTGATTCAGATTCTGTTCCAATTCAGTCCTGATTGGTTCAGATTCTGATTCAGATTCTGTTCCATCTCAGTCCTGATTGGTTCAGATTCTGTTCCAATTCAGTCCTGATTGGTTCAGATTCTGATTCAGATTCTGTTCCAATCCAGTCCTGATTGGTTCAGATTCTGATTCAGATTCTGTTCCAATTCAGTCCTGATTGGTTCAGATTCTGATTCAGATTCTGTTCCAATTCAGTCCTGATTGGTTCAGATTCAGATTCAGATTCTGTTCCAATTCAGTCCCTGATTGGCTCAGATTCTGATTCAGATTCTGTTCCTATTCAGTCCTGATTGGTTCAGATTCTGATTCAGATTCTGTTCCAATTCAGTCCTGATTGGTTCAGATTCTGATTCAGATTCTGTTCCAATTCAGTCTTGATTAGTTCAGATTCTGATTCCAGATTCTGTTCCAATTCAGTCCTGATTGGTTCAGATTCTGATTCAGATTCTGTTCCAATTCAGTCCCTGATTGGCTCAGATTCTGATTCAGATTCTGTTCCAATTCAGTCCTGATTGGTTCAGATTCTGATTCAGATTCTGTTCCAATTCAGTCCCTGATTGGTTCAGATTCTGATTCAGATTCTGTTCCAATTCAGTCTTGATTGGTTCAGATTCTGATTCAGATTCTGTTCCAATTCAGTCCTGATTGGTTCAGATTCTGATTCAGATTCTGTTCCAATTCAGTCCTGATTGGTTCAGATTCTGATTCAGATTCTGTTCCAATTCAGTCCTGATTGGTTCAGATTTTGATTCAGATTCTGTTCCAATTCCAGTCCTGATTGGTTCAGATTCTGATTCAGATTCTGTTCCAATTCAGTCCTGATTGGTTCGGATTCTGATTCAGATTCTGTTCCAATTCAGTCCTGATTGGTTCAGATTCTGATTCAGATTCTGTTCCAATTCAGTCCTGATTGGTTCAGATTCTGATTCAGATTCTGTTCCAATTCAGTCCTGATTGGTTCAGATTCTGTTCCAATTCAGTCCTGATTGGTTCAGATTCTGATTCAGATTCTGTTCCAATTCAGTCCTGATTGGTTCAGATTCTGTTCCAATTCAGTCCTGATTGGTTCAGATTCTGATTCAGATTCTGCTCCAATTCAGTCCTGATTGGTTCAGATTCTGATTCAGATTCTGTTCCAATTCAGTCCCTGATTGGTTCAGATTCTGATTCAGATTCTGTTCCAATTCAGTCCTGATTGGTTCAGATTCTGATTCAGATTCTGTTCCAATTCAGTCCTGATTGGTTCAGATTCTGATTCAGATTCTGCTCCAATTCAGTCCTGATTGGTTCAGATTCAGATTCAGATTCTGTTCCAATTCAGTCCTGATTGGTTCAGATTCTGTTCCAATTCAGTCCCTGATTGGTTCAGATTCTGATTCAGATTCTGCTCCAATTCAGTCCTGATTGGTTCAGATTCTGATTCAGATTCTGTTCCAATTCAGTCCCTGATTGGCTCAGATTCTGTTCCGATTCAGTCCTGATTGGTTCAGATTCTGATTCAGATTCTGTTCCAATTCAGTCCTGATTGGTTCAGATTCTGATTCAGATTCTGTTCCAATTCAGTCCTGATTGGTTCAGATTCTGATTCAGATTCTGTTCCAATTCAGTCCTGATTGGTTCAGATTCTGTTCCAATTCAGTCCTGGTTGGTTCAGATTCTGATTCAGATTCTGTTCCAATTCAGTCCTGATTGGTTCAGATTCTGATTCAGATTCTGTTCCAATTCAGTCCTGATTGGTTCAGATTCTGTTCCAATTCAGTCCTGATTGGTTCAGATTCTGATTCAGATTCTGTTCCAATTCAGTCCTGATTGGTTCAGATTCTGATTCAGATTCTGTTCCAATTCAGTCCTGATTGGTTCAGATTCTGTTCCAATTCAGTCCTGATTGGTTCAGATTCTGATTCAGATTCTGTTCCAATTCAGTCCCTGATTGGTTCAGATTCTGATTCAGATTCTGTTCCAATTCAGTCCCTGATTGGTTCAGATTCTGATTCAGATTTTTGAAAAATATGTGATGTCGTAATGAAATTGGTCGATACACTTCTTGTCAATCTTTTTTGTCAATTCAAATATTTGTATTCTACACTTTCCAGTGTAGAATCTCATCAACATTGTCTATTTTTAGGATAGTGTTTTTTACGGATTAGATTCCACCTATATTGTACTAAACCAATATTAAAAGCAAATATTTAATTTTTTTGCTTTTTAAGAAAACATGAAATTCTTCTCATTTTTGCCTTTATGCTTTCCTTATTTCCGGTCATTTTGGCTTTGTTGCCATGGTGGTGTTATCTTCCTTGGAATGTTGACGGATGGAACGATTGCCAAAACCCAGTGCCAGCTAACGAGGTTTGTCTTTATGTTAGATGCATACCTGAATAGCATTAACAATAACAACATTAGTAAAATTAATAGCATTCATAATATTCATAATAATTAACAAGATTAACGACACTAAACATTACAACATTGATAATAATATTACTAGCAATAATCACATTAATAACACAAATAGCTTTATCATATTAATAACATTCATAGCATTCATAAGACCAAATAAATTAATAAAATTGATTAATAAATTAACTAAAATTAATTTAGCGATGTGAGCCGGCCTGTACTTCTGATTTCAAGTGTTGTAAAGGGTTTTATTGCAACTGGTTTTTGGTTTGTGCTCCAAAATACCGAGATCCCCTTGGGCCATAGGGATTGTTGATGCAGCCGGAGATATTGAATAAATAAATTTTTAGCTTCAGCCTTCACTTTAAACCTTCAAATGAAAACCTTGCGACTTTAAACGGCGTATCAACTGCTTCATTAACTTACTATACTATGAGAGTCTGATCTTAATTAAAACAAACCACAGCTGTTTAATTAAATTTTTGAATTTAGCCATGTTAGGACAAAATTTTTGGATTTTTATTATATTTAACTGCGTTTGTTAACGTAGCTAATGTGTGCCTAAAGAATGATCGATGGCTACTTACTATACTATGAGAGTCTGATATGTTTAGTTTCTTTTCAGAAAATTGAGCATACATTCACCTGAAAACACTCAAGTTAAATCATCTACTATATGTTTTAAGAGATTTAATAAACAATCAGTCAAATTTTTTTCAAATATATTTCTGTGAATTGAAAATTTAATCAAATTTGGGTTTTTGGAACTAAACGAAAATAGGAGGGATGCTCGTCAGGGATCCTTCGATCATTTTTGGAGAGCACGTCTATCAGATCTGAATTCGAAAATGAGAGGATTTTGATCAACAAGTTTTCCAATTCAAATGCAATGGAGCTCAATGTCGAACGTCTTTTTCTCACTTTTCTTTCGTTAAGAGGATTCGATCGTGCGGCGAATTGTTGTTTCTGATCGATCATCAATTCAACGGGAAATATACACTTCTGAACAATTTGAAGTCGGTGAATCGGTTGGTATTGCATGAGAATTCAAAAGAAGCCCTCGGGGATTCTTCTCAAATTTCCACGCATCATTTTGTTTAGGACACCCGTAGTTTCCGTGTTCTCGGATCGATTCGAGGACTCAGGTTGTTTGACTGACATTTTGGGACACACTGGTGACAGCGAAGCGGCTGCATTATCGAATGTTCTGGGATTGGAGAGCAAAATGTGAAAGTGCTTTTCTGAGGTTATTCTTGTTAAAGTGCTCGTTACTAGACTTGGAGCATTGGAGGTTGGAGGTAAATGATAAAACAATCCCCTTTTAACGTTTTTCCTTTCAGATGGCGATACTCCATACGGTCCACGATGGATTCTCAACGATGAGCAGAATGCTGCGGGTCCAACTCTACACGAAATAAACAAACGAATGAATGAGCTAAAGCAATAGATACTTTACGTTCAATTTTTATTTGGTTTCTTTTGGGGTATAGATTCCGTTTTGAGTCAAATTTCGTTTAAATTTAGCAAGTTTTTGTGAAATTTTATACAGATTCAGCTTTCAATTGATTAGCCTAAAGCTTTGCCAGATTTTTCAAAACGAAATCTTTCCATCTCTACATTTTACGGGTTTTTAAGGATACCAGGTCCATTTTTGTAGTTTTTTTATTTTTGGAAGAAATCTATGATTCTTACTATTTGTTTGCTTTTGTTTTGCTAAAATTTTCTTGTTTGTGGTAATTTGTCTTTAAACTAGTGTTAATTTTTGTTACTTTGAGCTATTTTGGCAATAAAGTGAAGAATTTTATTTGAGATTTGATGCTTTTAGTGACATGAAGGGCTAGGTGGATTTCCTGATTCTTGTGTGAAGTTCTGAAATTACTTGCGTTCTGAGATTACTTGCGCCTTTTCATTTCAGACAGACAACAGTAGCTAGAATTTAAATGATTTGCGGAAACGATGAAAACAACTCGACGATAGTGATTCTATTTTGATAGGATTTTAAGGTAAAGTTCATCTTTTTGACTGTTTAGTTTTCCAAACTGTCTTTATGACTGACCAAGCTGACTGTCTTTCTACCAGCCGAAAAATCTGCCTAACAACGGGTTTTTCTGGCTGGGTGTTTTGGGGCTGACGTATAGTTTGATCTCTCAAGTGAAAGGGCCTCCTCCCTTCCACTACAAGTACAAAAACTTGTAACAACAGAACGGAAATCTGAAAGTTTTTGTCATCGAATGGGTTCAGCGAAAAACGGCTTTTACATGCTTCGATTTGCCGATTTCTTCAACCTTGAATCCCCCGGATAATTCGGCCTCAGTGCGTTAGCTTTTTCGCCTTTTTCATCTCAATGGAGTGATCACTTTTTAACGATTCTGTTACACGTTAAATCATTATGTTTTCGAGGACTTTACGGATAATGGTGTTAGCAATTAGCTCAGCTAAACTTGGTCATTCTCATTACATTCCAGATAATCCTTTTCAATCCCATTGACCTTCAAAGTACCCGTTATTGTTGTAGAATTGATTGTTTGTTGTCACGTTTCATTGTTTTCTTGTTTCCTTGGTTATTCTTGCATTTGTTACAAATAAAGTTTGGAATTTTATTGAGAAAGATGGAATTTTGTCGTGAATTCGCGGGACTTCTATACTTTTAGCTAGTTAAGAGCGGTTAAATGTGAAATTCTTGGAAACGTTTATCGATATCGAGAAATTTTTCTCATTAGAAATGATGAGTTTCGTGCAAGCGCTAGTTTTGAAATTGTTTTATTATCAAAATTTCACGAAAAGTCTAATCTTTTATATTTCAGGTATAAAATGGCAGATTGTCAATTGGCGATGGCGATGACAAATTGAAAAGGGAAATGAGGATCGAAATGGAGAAGAAAATGGAACGATTGATGGATCAACTCCGCCATTTCCGATGAAGAAGTTGAATCAAGATGAGAATGGATCCGGTGAAGATGCGTTTCTTTCGTTCTCGATGCTGAATCTCAAGACGTTCCCAATGGAGAAATTGTGCTACGATCTAAGAGTTGGAGTTCTGGAACTCCAACTGAAAGGAGGTTCCAGAAAAAAAGGACGCAAAGGAATTGTTTTGTTTTGTTTTTTGTTGAATAGTTTTGGATTACAATTGCACCAAGAAATTTCCTGAGTCACCACGATTTTACTTGGATTTCGATCCCCACCATCCTTTGAATGCATCACTTCGTGTTGCGGATTGAAGCTTTGGTCTTCTCATGATTCGTCAATCATCGAAGTCAAGCATGAAGCATTCCTGAAAAAATTGAATGTCAAATTTTTCTAGAGAACGATGTCGAGAAATCCTTTTCATATTTGGGTAGAAGTTTTACATTCGGAAGTTTCATAAGGAGAAATTCCGAATCCAAGAGGAGTCCAAGAGGAGTCAGGGACGGCCACAGCGTTCACCATGGAAGCAGAGCCTAAAAACTTTGATGTGTTTTTGATTTTTTGAGGCCATCTTTGGGCCATCTTTTTAAAAAGTCAAAAACTTTAAGCAGTATGATGACGAGAATTGAGATACCTGAATGAAAACTCGATTTTTTTTTTTTGAAAACTCGATTTCATTTCTAACCGGAGGCTACTCTGAGAAGATTCATTTATTTAAACTTAAACCCACTGAAGACGAGGAGAACCGCGAAGAGCAAAAGCAAGGCAAAAGGAGAGAAGAGGCATGGTTTGGGTTTGAAGCTGGGAACTGATAGAGATCTTTGTATTTAAACGAAAGCTCGATTTGATAAGCGTCTCGACCCTCGAGAGCTGAAAACCCAAATTTAGCGGTGGACAAAAACGTCAGCTGGAGAGGTCTTGTCTAAGCTAAAAAGAGACTTTATCAGCAAAAAGATAAGGCATTCTTAGTTTCGAGTTTTTTGGACTGTTTTGTAACCCCTCTGAATATAGTTCTTTTGCCCTCTCAAAATAGTTCTTGTATTCTCTAAATATCGTTATTCTTAATATAGTTCCTTTTCTTTCGGAATATAGTTGCTTTCCCTCGCTGAATCTAAGTTGAATATGACCTCTCAACAAAATCGAAGATCACATCTTCTGTTTTCTAAATCAACGCTTTTTACCCAAAATTCACCGAAAACTACCCAAAACACAATTTTATTTTATTATCTTTAAAACATTTTGATTTGGATAGGTTTTATAGCCAATAGCCTTATTTATTTTCTTCTTCGAGTGTTTTCAATTATGAATTGAAAGAAAGCCTCATCAATTTCTTCAATGAAGTTTTTTGGATGGCACCAGGGATCGTTCCGGCGAAAAAGAAAGAAAGTCTGGGCGTTCTGATTTGACCGATATTATAGTTTAAAACAAGCTGTAAACTATGGCGCTTCGACTATTTCCACTAAATTATTGGATCATTTAAAAGTTAAATGACCGAATTGCTGATTGGTTTGAAAAGTGGTTTGGGGAAGTTTTGGGACTTTGATACCTTTTGACAATTTACGTGAACGTCAAGTTTGACAAGTCAAACTTTATCTCTTTCGAGTTTGAGAAACTTAGTGTGTGATTACTCGTTAACGAGGATTTACTACATAAGAATTTACCACAAACACACTGTATCCAACACACAAACACACGATTTTAAACTCGAGGGCTTGTTGAGCTTACGTATGATTAGATTTTGTGTATTCGTTCCCATTATTCGTGCTCGTGGAGCTAAACCCTTGAAACGAGTTGGCATTAGAACCATTGAGTTTGCCGTCTTGCCATCAACATAAACCAAGCAAATTCCTGCTTGTCGATGGGTCCTTTCTAAACAAGAATGCACAATTGTTTAAATACAAAAAACTGGGGTTAGATGGATAGATAGATATGGATAAATGCAAGTTTTATTCTAAACAATTACAATTACACTTTAGATATTCTTTAGATAGATAAATATTCTCGGATACAAGGACACTTTGAAGTCTAAACTTTTTACCGATTTGATTCTTTTCGATTCTTTTTTGCCGGCTAAAACTTACTTTTTTGTCCAAACTACAGTATAAACTACTCGTTCTACCCCTTGGGAAAGCAAATTTTAGCTCACTTTTTGAGAGCATTTAAAAAGCTTCTCACATTGCTGAAATAAGCCAGGATAAATGCAAGTTTTATTCTAAACTGAGTAGGGTACTCGACATAAAAGCAGGTAGAAAAGGCTCGTAACCCTTTTGCAGATATAAATATTAGAACTTGCACAGAGAAAGTGAGATGGGAAAAAGAGTACTGTAAGGGACGGGTAAAGTAAGTTTTAGCCGGCAAAAAAGAATCGAAAAGAATCAAATCGGTACAAAGTTTAGACTTCAAAGTGTCCTTGTATCCGAGAATATTTATCTATCTAAAGAATATCTAAAGTGTAATTGTAATTGTGAATCGCATTTCACATTTCTGTAATTGTAAGCCAAAAATGAGCAGATTCAGATAATCGGCAATTAAAATTAAAATTCGGAAATTTTTTAGAGTTCTTGGATATCTGGCACTCCTTTGCCCATATTTTTTATTTAGCCAGAACCACTTGCATAGGTCCTTACCTAAAGAAACCTATTGATACCAGTTCGAAAGTACTGTACTCTCCATAAAGCTATCGTACTCTTCCCTTTTCCTCTTGCAGTTCTCTTGCAGAACTAGTTCAAGATGTAGTTCTCTTGCAGAACTAGTTCAAGATCTAGTTCTCTTGCAGAACCAAATCCGCACATCCAAATATTCTTAATCAACTCAGAATTCCATCCCGACTAATCCTTTCCACACATAGAATCCCTTCTCAAGAGGGAAAAATCTCGGATATAATAACTCTCGTCGAGGGGCATACTCATTAGGTTGAAAGGAGAAGAGAAGGCATGCATAGGAATTCGTCTCTCCACCCTCGTGAGCGCAAGGAGGGAGAATCTCGTCTCTTCTCCTTTTCTCTGGCTTTCCTTTTTCCCCCCAGTCTCGACTAATGAAATAGAATTTTTTGAAGCAAAGGAGAAAATGCCCCATATTCTTCCCAGTCGGGCTTTATCCGGGTTTTCTCTGAAACCTCTCGAATCTCTCAAATATTTTGCCGGTAAAAGAGAAAAGAGAGGCTATGGTCCCTTATCTATTGCCCTTCTTATACTCCCTCATAGCATATTCCCCTCTCCCCCATTCCCTTTAGGTCTTCCCCCTGTGACTTTCCGATTATTTCCAAATGGCGGACAATTGTTGATTGATCACATTGGAGATGTTTGGCAAGCTCTCGTGTTTTTGCATTCAATCGGCTTCAATAAGTTGTCCCAATTCATTATTACCAACTCATTACTGCCGAGTGATGCCCGTGTGGTTCGTCTTCAAGAGATTCAAAACCTTCTCGGAATTGGGAAAGCAGGATCTTTCGGTCATAACTCGTTCTCCAAGAGCGG